CGCGCGCTTTGTCTCGGCCGACCCTCCTCTCGCTCTCTCTCTCTCTCTCTCTCTCTCTCTCTCTACATCGCTCTCTGGCTGCTGACCGTCTGGCGGCCGTCTTTCCTTGTCTTCTCTTTCGCACCCACCATATACCCGCTCTCCCGACGCTATCGACGGCAAGGGCATCCATCTTCGCCTCCCGCTCTCGCCCTGCTTCTGCCGCTCCCCCTCGCCGACATCGCAGCGAGCCAGCATGCCCCTCATAGATCCGCACGACCTGTTCCGGAAACGGGGCGTCGAGATCCCCTCGGCTGCATCGTTCTTTGTGCCGGGACTGCCTGACCTTCACGATGCCAACAACGCCAGCAGCAGCAGCTCATCCTCGTCGGGCAGCGTGTCCCACCCTCTGCACATGTCTGCAGGCTACCTGCCCGCCCGGCCGCCAGCCCGCTCCGGCGACAGCGTTCCCAAGGACGATGCCCACCTCTACTTTCTCCTCCTGCGCGCCCGGCACACACCACCAAAGCGCAAGCTCATCATCTGGTTCAACGGCGGGCCCGGCTGCTCGTCGTTTGACGGCGCCATGATGGAGGTGGGCGCCTGGCGGCTCGACGGCAACGGCGGCCTCGTGTGGGCCCAGGACGGCGGCAGCTGGAACGAGTACGCCGACATCCTCTTCCTCGACCAGCCCGTCGGCACCGGGTTCAGCTACGTCAACACCAACGGCTACAGCACCACCCTCACGCAGGCCGCCGACGAGGTCGTCTACTTTCTCCAGCGCTTTGTCGAAGTCTTTCCCGAGTACGGCCGGGACGTCGAGACGCGCTACGGCAGTACCGGCAGCGGCGTCGACGTCTACCTCGCTGGCGAGAGCTTTGCGGGCCAGTACATCCCCTATACGGCGTCGGCGCTGTTGCACGCGCCACGCCCTCCCGTCTCGCTCAAGGGCATCGCAATCGGCAACGGCTTCATGGACCCGAGATCGCAGTACGGCACCGAGCTCGAAGTGATGATCTCAAAGGGACTCTGGACGACCAACTCGCCCGAATACCGCAAGGTGGCCCAGGTCGTCGACCGGTGCCGCAAGATGCTCGACAAGGGCGCCAGCGAGCTCCACCGCGCCACAGCTCCCTGCGACGACATCCTCCAGACCATTGTCCAGCTCAGCTACAGGCGCGAAAAGCTCGAGGGCAAGCAGCAGGGCGGCGGCGTTGTCGTTGGCGAGGGCAACGCCGGCGGCAACACGTGCATCAACATCTACGACGTCCGGCTGCGCGACACGGCGCCGGCGTGCGGCATGAACTGGCCGCCGACGCTGGCGCCGACGTACGCCTACCTGGCGCGCGCCGACGTACGCCAGGCGCTCCACGTCGACAACAAGCACAAGCCCGAGGCGTGGGTCGAGTGCAACAACAACGTCGGCGGCGCCATGCGCTCCGACTCGACGTCGGCGCCGTCGGTGACGCTGCTGCCCAAGCTGCTCGAGTCCGGGTTAAAGGTGCTGCTGTTTGCCGGCGAGGAGGACCTGATCTGCAACGCCATCGGCGTGCGGCGCACCGCCGAAAACCTGGTGTGGGGCGGACAGAAGGGTTTCGGCGCGCAGCAGTCGCAGCCGTGGCACCTCAACCACACCGAGGTCGGGTCGTGGAAGGAGGCGCGCAACCTGAGCTACGTCGGCATCAAGGGGGCCAGCCACATGGTGGGCTTCGACGCGCCGCTGGCGAGCCACGACATGATGCTGCGCTGGATGGGCGTCGACTTTTGGAGCGTCGCCGGGCCGAATGCGCGCCTGCCCAGCCGCGTGGGCGGCGGGCCGGACCGCATGATTGGCGCCACGGCCGGTGCGCCGCTCGGCAGCGCCCAGGACGAGATGGCGCCCGATGCCAAGACCAAGGAGGAGATCGCCGAGGAGGCCAAGTGGGAAGCCTACTAGTGAGTCGCCGAGACACTGTGGAAGGGGCGATCGCTCCGCGAGAGAGGCTGTCGCTGACCTCGTCCTCTGCTCCCGACAACGCCCGCACGCCTGCTCTCCTTCTCGGCGCGATCTTTCCCCTCACCTCCCCGCAGCAACGCCGGCTCGCTCGCGCTGGTCGTGCTGCTGATCGCCGTGGCGCTGGGCACGTTTGTGCTGCTGCGGATGCGTCGCAAGCGGCGGCCGCTGCGGACGGGCGCACTGCCCAAGGACCGGATGGGGCGTAACGGCCACCTGCGGCTGTCGAGCACGACGGAGCTGCGCACGCCGGACGACGAGGAGCGGCCCATGGAGCTCGAGCGGCTCGTGGATGAGCGACGCCGCGATGGGAGCGGTAGCGTCAGCGGTAGCTTTGACGACGATGTTGGGCGGAGGGACAAGGAGCGGATCTTTGATGTTGGAGAGAGCGATAGTGGTGACGACGAGGAGGGGGAGGGGGGTCGACGTCGGAGAGATGCGGGGATGACGGAGGGCGCGTGAGCCGTCTTCGGTGGTCGCCATGCTGAGTCGGCGGACGCGGGATGGGTAGGGACACCTCTTTTTGGTTTCCCCCTCGCCAGCCTCGCCACCACTACCTCGCAGCTCTGCTCTCGCTCCTCCTTCGCCCTCGTCGCTACATCCTAGCGACACTCGTAGTAGCACACACTCCACCCTCGTTCTACCCCGCCCCACCCTGCCCTGCCCTACTTTGCATCGCCTTGCCATGCGCCCCTCGCCGTCCCTACTCGTTCCGTTGCAGCACACTCCTCCTCTTCCTCCTCCTCTCGACTCGGTAGCGTCGTCGTTTGACGATCCACGTTCTTTATTTCCATCCTAATCAATCATGTTCAGGCAGGAGGGAGGGGTTCGTGATGACGGGGGGGAGCGTATCGTGCCCTACCTCGCGACGCAGGGGTGGGGGAGGGGGGCCAAGGTCGACCGGCTATCGCTGCTTGTGTGCCGATCACAGTCGAAACGGTATCGAAGGGTAGGGGCGTCGAGGCCATTGGTCGATACTGTCACCTCCCACGCGCCAAGGGAGGGGTACAGCGGTGGTTTCGACCATGTCGCGGCTGGCCGTAACAGGGTCGTAGCGCCACTGCCGTCACCGTGACCGTCCTCGCATCGTATCGCATCGCACCGCATCGCGTCGTAGCAGCGTGGCGAGTAACGCACTTGCCCGCTGAGACTGCGCGACCATGCGCTTCTTCGCTTCGCCTGTACACTGCTCGAGCTCCAGGCGACGCGGCCTGAGACGAGACGAGATGGCACGGCGCGAGACGAGACGAAATAACGGCGCGAGACGAGGTGGCACAACGGGCCAGGACGGAACCGAGGACGCACCTGCGTGATTTAGGGCCGTACTTGACCTCGTCGGACGCCTCGAGGGACGATTCGACCGTCTTGCACTGCCTGCCCTGTCAGTGTTCCACGCTTTCACCGCCGACATCGCTGGTTCTTGCCTGACGATGCTGTGCTTGCCGATTAGGTGCGTTTGGGTGCGTCGCGCTGCGGTACGGTGCCGTGCAGTGCGGCGCAGTCGTGCGCACCACCTGGCCGTCTTCGCGCCAACGCTTCAAGGTGCAAGACGATCAGCGCATCGCGCAAAGCTCGTTGCGGCACAAGGTAGGGCGGTCTAGGGTGCAACGGCGACGTTGCAGTGCCACGCCGCCGCCACCGTTGTCGTCGTCACCATCATAGTCTTGGGGGCGAAGCGCCAACCAGCCGGCTGGAAATGACGTGCAGAGGCTATTTCTAGGCCCGACATATGGAGCGATAGGGCGCTGGAGGCGGTTGAACCGGAAGTCTGAGAGCAAGGGCGAACGAGAGGACCGCAGCAAAGACTGGCGGGCCAGCTTGGACTTGCCGACCTGGCTCCGACGACGGGCACGTCGAGTCGGTACTCCAAGCCGTCCTGGATGAAACGACGAACGGACGGAGACCACGCTGGGCGCGGGATGGGGCCGATCTCGCCCGTGCCCCTGCCCTCGTCGGCTACCGCTGCGACGACTTGTCTTCGATATCGAGCGCGACGTCGTACCGGTTGCGATACACCTCCCTCGCCTCGACGAGGACGGTAAGGTTGAGGCTCTGCAGCAGCAGCGCCTCGTTCTCGCCGTCTACCTGCGCGACACATCCCTGGAACGGCGCTGCGATCAACGACCGCCCGAGCCCGATGAGCGGCAGCTCCTCGCTCTCGCCGCACCGCACCGCCTCGAGGGCGCTGTCAACCTGCTGCGGCGACAGCTTGGGTCCGGCGACGTTGCACATGACTACGACCGCCTCGGTCTCGAGCGCCCGTGTGGTGCAGAGGCTGCGGAGCAGGTCCTCCTCGCACCGCCGGTTCCAGCGCAGTGCGGCGGCGCCGCCATCCGAGGCGTACCAGCAGGTCGGCACGAGGATGACGTCCGGGCCCGCCGCCTGTCCCTCGACGTCGAGGTCCGAGAGGTTGCCCTGCTTGGCCGACGCCGGCGACTTGAGCATCTGCTCGAAGCGCGAGTACCACGCCAGGTCCCAGCAGATGGCCAGTGATGCGCGCAGCCGCAGCCCGCGCCGCGTCGTGATGCCAAAAGTTGCGCTGCTGTGCTGCTCTGCATGGGTGAAGGGCGAGGATGACGAGAGGGTGGTGCGCTCCGGGTGCCAGAGGTTCTGTTTTGTATAGCGATGGGCTACGGTTCCTGTCCTTGTGACGTAGTAGGCAGTGTTGTAGAGCGGACGCTTCTCGGTCGGTCCTTTTGCAGACGAGGACGGCGAGGAGGGGTTGGCCTGGGGACGAGCTCGTGCATCGTCGAGGCGGTGAGGTATCTGCTGGCCGGCGTCGGGGCTGTCGGTGGTGTCCGCGGCGGCGTCGTCGTTGTCGTCGATATCGGCCAGCTCGACGACGGTGCCGGCGACAATGTCGATCCCCGCCTGATGTGCAATCTGCTTTATCGCCTCGAGCCAGGGCTTGTCGTCTTGATCCTGGTCGTCGGCGCTGCCCCTGACGCCCTGCCAGTGTCCATGAGTGGCGCCGCTGAGGAAGTACTCTGGGAAGATGACGATGTCGGCGCCGGCTTGAGCTGCCGTGTGTGCGCACGAGGACAGCTTGGCGAGCGAGTGCTGGGCTGCGTTTGGGTGGTGTAGTCCGGTGTCGTCGGGGAGGAGCTGTGCGAGGGCGATGTGGAGCTGCTGCCGGGGCGAGAGGTGGGCAATGCTGCCTTGGACTGGTATCGCGTGGCTGTCTGGCATGGCGGCGAGGCTAGGTGGGTGGCCGGGCAAGAGAGGCGCAGCGCGGGGTAAGGCTGGAAGGCGGCGGTGGGGGTGGATGTCTGGGCAAGAGAGGCGCAGGGCGCGATACGGCTGCAAGGCGGCGGCGGTGGTGGTGATGGCGGCGGTGGTGGTGGTGGAGAAGAGGAGAAAGGGTGACAAGGCCGTCAGTCACCTCTGGGTTGTCGACCCTGGAAGCCGGCGAGATGTCGGCAGGGCCGTGCGCCAGGGTGCAATGGGATCGGGGAAAGGGGTGGTCTGGGCCCGATGGACGGTCGGGTGCGCCGCGGGCCAGGCCAGGCGGGGCCGCGGCGAGATGAGGGCGGGCGTGCACCTCTGACGTTTTCTTGGCAGCGGAGCAGGGACTTGCTGGAACGTGCCGCCCGCTGGGAGAGACGGCCAAGGTGCCGGATGGCGGCCGTATGCCGACTTTTGTATGGCGGGCGCCCCTCTGGGCCGTCGTTGTAGCTGATGGGAATGATGATGAGGGCAAGGGGGAGGCCGTCGTCGGGCCAGGCCGAGGGTAGGCTAGGGGCTCGGCCAGCCAGGGTTTAGGTGATGCTTTGACCCCCCCCCCCCCCCCCCCTCCCGAGTCGAGGGGCCGAGGATGGGGTCGAGCGAGGATCGAGGATATGGGGCCGTGTCAGTTGACGGATCGGATGGCCCGACAGAGGGAGAGGGAGGGAGAGACGGGGAGAGGCAGAGAGAGAGAGAGGGGGGGGGCATGGCCGTGGCCCGCGGCTTGACCAGTTGGGGGCCCTGGCTGTTGCAAGCTGCGCCCTCCACTTTGCGCTTTCTCTCTGCGTGGCCGGGCCTTGCTTGTTGGCGAGGCCAAAGCCAGGCCCGGCCCATCGGCGGCGGGGGGGCGGGCCCACCTGGCAAGACGGCGGCGGGCTGCCCCGCGGGCGGCGTAACGCTGGCCGGGCCTGGCATCTGGCCCCGGCTGGCTGGCTGGCTGGCTATGCGGCCCGCCTCTCCGTCTCCCGTCTGCGGCGTGAAAAAGGGCCTGGCCATCTGGATCCACCACGCCTTTCACCACCGGTCGACTGCTGGTCAAAAGCGCACCCTCGCCCTCTCTCTCTCCCTCTCGGCTCTTCACACCACCACCAACTCTTGCTCGTGTCCAACCACCGCTCTGCCACCAACCCAGCACGGCACCAGCCTGGCCCAGACACCGCCGCCTTTGACGCAGCCTTGACCGGCAACTCTCCGCCAGAGTCGTCGTGTTTCATCTCGACCTCGGCGATCAACGACGCTGCAGGCCTACGGCACCTCTACCACCTCTCCTCTGACCGCTCATCGCAAGCCGGCTGGCTTTGGTACCACTACTGCTCCTACTTGGCGCCCGCATCGTCCTACGCACCTCTCTGCCAGCCAGCGGTGCCCATCACAAGGTCAACCCACGGGAATGCCCGCACCACACCTCCGCCTAGCCTAAGGGACCACACCGCCTTTGCACCCATCAGCGGCCGCCCTGTCTTTCGGTAGCCAAAGCGCAACTCCAGCACACTGCCCTCGTCTGGCACCCCGTCCTCGCCTCAAACGCTCCCAGCTCCCCCTTCCCCACCCCACCCACCGACCTCGCCCGCCATGCAGTACGTCGGCCGCCTCGTCTCCTCGGTCTACAACACCATCACACCCAACATCAACCCCGCAACCCTCAGCGGCGCAATCGACGTCATCGTCGTAGAGAAAAGGGTCGACGTCGACGAGGAGGTCGAGGTAGACGCCGCAGGCAACGAACTATCCCCAGACGAGCTCCACAAGCGCGACCGAGATGCTACCGCCGCCGCCGCCGCCGCCACCACCTCCTCTGCTGCGCCCGAGCAGCCGCGCCGCACCAAAAAGGTCAAGCGCCAGCGCCTCGAGTACGCCAGCACCCCCTTCCACGTCCGCTTTGGCAAGATGAGCGTCCTCCGCCCCGCAGAGAGAAAGGTCACCCTCCACCTCAACAACAGCCCGGACCCGCTCCCCTTTGCCATGAAGGTCGCAGACTCGGGCGAGGCCTTCTTTGTCCTCGAAATCGACGACAACGACGAGCGAGACAGGATCCCAGACGACCTCGTCACCAGCCCCATCCTCAGCGCATCCGCAAGCCCAATCACCTCGCCCGACCTCGCCGCTTCGCAGCCACCGGACGGCGACGACCAGCAGCAGTTTGTCCCGGCTTCATCGGCAGCTGGCGGCAGCGCTACCACAAAGACATCAGAGGTGGAGCCGCTCGACCTCGGCGAGTCGAGAGTCGCCGAGAGCAGCGGCGGCATCGACCTCGACGAGCCCGACATCGACGCACGCAGCGCCACCACCGTCCGCTCCGGCACCACCGCAGAGACGTCGATCACGACGCCCAGCATGGGCCGCACATCGTCCGGCGATGCCGCAGCGGGCCCCTCTACCAGGTCGCCCAAGTCCGACGTCGAGCGCGAGACCGACGAGGCGAACGACGCTGGCGACCTCGACGTGCCCGGCGACTCGAGTCGCACCGGTTCGGGCCCCGCGGGCTCGTCCAGCCTCCTCGACAAGGTCGGCACCGCCGCGTCCAAGGCCAGTGGCGCCCTCGGTGCTGCTGGCCGCGCTGCCGTCGGAGCCGGCACACGCGGCAACGCCAAGCTCGAAAACGTCGCACGCAAGGCGCAGCGGGCCGACGGCGGCAACGGAGCCGACAGCGCCGGCGTCGACGACGGTCAAGAGGGCCACGACTACGAGCCAGAGCGGGGAGGACCGGCGGGCAAGCGGCGCCAGCAGGACCGCGAGCAGGTGCGGGACGACGAGGCGCCCCGGTCCGAGGCCGAGAGGCTCGAGCAGCAGCTCAAGGACCGCGCCACGGGCGTCATCCGCGCCGAGGTCGAGGCCTGGGAGCCGGCCACCGTCGACGGCAACACCTCGGCCGAATCCCAGCGCGGCCTGGACCGCGAAGCTGCCGAGGCCGAGGAGCACTACCCGGAGCCCTTTGGCAGCACCACGGCGCCGAGGCCCTCGGCCGCCGCCCTCGCCGATAAGACCCGCAAGGACTTTGAGGGCGCAGCAGCGGCGCGCGCAGAGCGCTCCACGCAGGTCGAGACATACCCCGTCGCCACCTCCCGGCACTCGGAGTACCTCGGCGGCCGCAAGCTCCAGGCGGTGCCTGGAGTCGACGCCGATCACCCGATCGATCCGGCCATGGTCGATGCGAGCCTCCTCAAAGCGCGCCAGCGCGAGTCCAAGTCGCAACAGGGCCAGCAGCGCGGCCACGGTGGCCGGGACGACGACGGCGATGAGACGGCCGTGGACGATGTCGACGACGACGGGGATGTGGACCGAGTACGCGCCTCAAAGGAGCGCAAGGAAGGTAAGTGCGGCCCGTCGCCATCGTTGCCTGTTGCCCGCTGCCCGTACTCGAATGGGCGTGCTGACCGTGCCGCCAAGTCTCGATGGCACCTCTGCCTCGCTGCACCGCTCCAACAGACGTCCAGTACATGCTCGATATGGACGGCTACAAGATGACGGCCGACGGCGAGGATCTCGCGTTCCAGGAGGGCAACCGGCTCGCCGACGAGATGCCGCTCGGTCGCCGGCACGGCGGCAACGGCAGGCATGGGCACTCGGACAAGCTCAACGGCCCGGGCCACAAGCACAAGGTGTCGCTGCCGACCACGTCGACGGCGTCGCTGCGGCGCAGGTCGGCGTCCAAGTCGCACCGGCCCAGCATCTCGATGGACTACCGGAAGCAGAAGGCGATCAAGACGAGGGACCGTAGCGGCACGCTGGGAGCGCTCGACCTCGACCTCGACGATTCGGATGATGACGACGACGACGACGACGGCACGCTTGACCTGGCGCCCTCTAGAAGCGGAAGGCGTGGCCAGGACCCGAGCGCCAAGCTCACTGGCACCTCGCACGAGCAGGACGAGCTCTCGCTTACTCGAGACCTGGCGCGTCTGGCGAGGATGAATCGCGCCTCCGACAGCAGCGGGCCCAGGCTCGGCGCTGGTGCCGGTGCTGACGCTGGCTCGTCGACCAGCCGACCGGGGCGGTCGCAAGCCCTTCACCCCGTCGACAAGCCGTCGCAGCACCGCCGTCATGCCTCGCTGTCGTACGGCCGCTCGCCATCGGGCCGTTCGAGCCCCGCCCTCGCCGGCAACAGGACGCGCGGCGTGCCGAGGCGAGCTGGTCGGCCCGGCCACTTCCAGGAGTTTTCGCTGAGCGACACCGAGGCCGAGGTGCCCAACGCCAAGAGCACGTCCGGGCGAAACTCGCTCGCCAGCTCGACCGAATCGATCAAGGGCGCCGATGGTCGCCTGTCGCGCCTGACGCCTGCGCTGCGCGACCTCAAGATGCCGGGCGACGAGACGCCGCCGCAGGTGGTCCTCGACGACACGGCCACCGCCCACCTGGGCCACTCGAGCAACTTGAGCTGGCAGTGGGGCGAGCTAGCGCCGCGCACCTCGGCGGCCGGCAAGTTCAACGCCGGCCCGCCCTCTGGCTATCGGCGGACGCGCTTCGCCAGCACCGACGCTTACGAGGCCCGCGGGCACTCGGCCGAGGTCGCCCAGGCGCTCGGACGGTACAGCCAGGACGACTCGGCGCTGACGGGCAAGCTGACCAGCTCGGACTGGGAGCCCTACGTCTTCCGCCTGGAGCTCGAGGACGCCTCGCACACGTTTGAGCTGAGCCTGTGCTACAAGGAGGGCTTTGGCGGCAACGGCGAGGGCGACTACTACGACTTTGAGGAGAACCGCGTGTCGTTCCAGCGCTTCGTCGACGACGAGGACGTGGTCAACGACGAGCGGCTCGTGGTGCGGTACAACGACCGGTTCCTCACCTGGGAAAACGCCTCGACCGTCCTGGCCACGCTCTCGCTGTACCGCAAGACGCTCTCCCCTGCCGCCTCGGGCGGCCAGGACGCTGCCCAGGGCAAGGGCGACGGCGGCCAGTCGAGGACGTCCAAGGCGAGCTACTGGTCGCGCTGGTGGAGCCGAAGCGCCAAGAGCATCCCGGACCTCAAAGAGGCGAGCGCCGAGCAGCAGCAGCAGCAGCAGCAAGAGCGAGACGTGAGCGAGGCAAAGGCGCGGGCGGCCAGGGAGGCGTCGGCGCCCCCGGCCGGTGGCCTGCTCCCGGCGCCCGACCGACCCATCGAGCGCTCGGCGACGGACTCTATCCTCGACCAGCGCCACCTGGTCGCCACCCCGGACAGCACCGAGGCCGACAAGAACCTCGACGGGGCGCTCGCCGGCCGGTCGTCCAAGGCCGCGGCGGGCGCGGCCAAAAAAACGAGCAACAAGACGTATGCCAAGACGCTGCGCTTGACGTCGGACCAGCTCAAGTCGCTCAACCTGCGCAAGGGCGCCAACACCATCACCTTCTCCGTCACGTCGTCGTACTCGGGCGTCGCCACGTGCACGGCGCGCATCTTTCTGTGGGAGAGCTCGCACAAGATTGTCGTGTCGGACATTGACGGGACCATCACCAAGTCCGACGCCCTCGGCCACGTCTTCACCATGATTGGCCGCGACTGGACCCACATTGGCGTCGCCAAGCTCTACACCGACATTGCCCGCAACGGCTACCGCATCATGTACCTCACCTCGCGGGCCATTGGCCAGGCCGACACGACGCGCGACTACCTCAAGGGCGTCAAGCAGAACAACTACGTGCTGCCCGACGGGCCCGTCATCATGTCGCCCGACCGCCTCATGGCCAGCTTGCACCGCGAAGTCATCCTGCGCAAGCCCGAGGTGTTCAAGATGGCGTGCCTGCGCGACATTGCGCGGCTGTTTGGCGCCGACCCGAGGACGGCCCAGGCGCAGCCGGGCGGCAACCTGGCCAATGCCAAGGGCGGCGACGGCGATGGCGATGGCCATAATGGGCAGGACAGCAACGCCGCCACCGCCACCGCCACCGCCGCTGCTGCCGATGGCCAGGATCGAGGCGAAGGCAGGGACGGCGTCGTCGGCGGCGGCAGCAGCCACCCGCTCGACAAGGGGGCTGGCGCAGATGCGAGCCCCGGTG